TGCCTTCTTATTGACACCTGATGCGTGATCCCATTTCAACTTCCACTTCTGCAGGTGAGCAAGCCTCCGTCTCCTGATGTGGCGACAAAATCCTTGCGCAAGGCGTGTGAAACAGACGACCAATAGAAGAATGAAATGAAAAAAAAAAATGAGCTATTTGGAGTAGCTCAATCGCCAAAGCCATCTCGTCGTTGCCACATCACGATGGCGGCTAGGTGTTCCAGCTTATTGGGGTTGGGGCCAACTCCTGGTCTGTTGATAAGAATGGTGGCCATTTTCAAGTCTTTGTTCCCGAACCTCTTTGTACTAGTACAGATGTGTTTGGTTGGCAACCTCTTAGTGCAGCATGCGTGATGATGGTGCTCGATGTTGTCGAAATTTCTGGATTTCATTGCTCAGAGTACGCTCTAGGTCATAATGACCATCACATTCACCCTTGGGCCAACGAATCTACGAATTATTTCTCTGGGGCAACAATCTTGAGCTAAACTCCATCCCTGTCCTTCACCTCCTCATAAATGGTATGAAGGCGCCAGCATTGATAATCCGCAAGAATAACTCCGAACCAAACGTCATCTCGTGTCCCGTAAGATTAGATGCCTGTAGCGAGTTATAAAGAAAAACACAAGCAACAAAATTATGCCGCTCAGTTCCTCCTCGGATGCTAAATAAAAGACGAGAAACACCAAAGGAGAATTTCCCCGCCGACTAGTCATAATATAACATGTTGGCTCCTTAATCTTTTGAGTCTGCCAATCTCCTCCTCTTTGCCAATCTCCTTCCGGTGACAGAGTTGTTAGTTCTCGTTCTCAACGACGACTCGACGCCTCGGTAACCAACCGTAGACTCTGTACCCTGCGCCACTTCATCTCCGCTTGAACCATCTGCCCCAACAATCCCCTCTGTAAATACTAAATCACCCCGTTGGCCAAGGACCTCCCTGCTGGCTTCTTCGAGCAGGATCCCAAAGGCGAGCAGGGCGGTCTCGTCCATGCTTCGTTCGTCGACGCTACGTCCACCAATGGCACCGCCGCCTGCTTCTGCTTCCCGATTCATCTCGTTCCTCCTTCGTTCCATGGCCCCGTAGAACTTGCTAGAGTACGCGTGGACCGACTTGAGAAGATCGCTGTGGGGGAGAATGTCTCTCCCGCCCTGAGGTAGATCTCTCTCATGCGCATTGTACACATCGTGCTCAGCGTACCGCTCTGGTGCGTCTTTGCGCCGGAAAAGTACCTCATGGGGGGCTAATGGGGTGCCACGAGTAGAGTGCCTGGTAACTTTGCGTTGCTGTTCCTGCTGTTGGTGGGAGCGCCCATGTGAGCTTTTTTGATCCGATATCTCATTTCTGAGAGCCGTGTCTTTGGTAACCCGTCCTGCATCATGTTAATCTCACGTGATAAAGGTTGTGCTCTCGGTCGCATTTTCATGTCTTTTTCTTGGTGTGGTGGTAATTTACCTGCAACGGCGTCGTAGACTGTTGCCAAGCGGCGGCGAGGCAACATAGGCTTTCCCGCATCAGAAAGGCCGGAATCTTCAGAATTATCTTCTTCGGCTGTAATTGAGGGGTGCTCTTGGTCCTCTGCGTAGGTGTCCATAGTGGCACGGCTGCAGGCTTAAAAAAGTGAGAATAGGTACTATGGGTGGAAAAACAATTGTTCGCAACAACTCCTCAAGAGTTGGGTTTGTTGGAAAATCCAGCGCGTGGGTGCATTCGCCTGACTGTCATTGTCCCGCACAGGTGTCGTTGTTGGAACCAGAGAGAATTGTTGCGCTCATCCCACAAGAGAGAGGAGTGATGATTCAAGTCGAAAACTTGCGAAGGTTTCGGAATGAGGTTGAAAGGACGTGGGGCCATGTGGAGCCCCACGCCAGTCTCAATGCAGTCTTGGTGGTCCTGGTGTCTGACATCACAGGGTAAGGTATCATCATCAACTCCAACGACAACAAAATCATAATCGCACTGCAAGCATTGCTACATGCCAGTCACTGCTCGCATGTAACGTCCGCTTATGCGCCATATCGCGCGTCTCCTCGATGAATGCAGGCCCGCCTCTTGTCCCGTGAAACGGGTGACCATAGTCCCGATGACCTCTCCAAGTCAGTGAACGCAGACCTCCTCCGTAGCTTCGCCCCAGCACCACAACACCGCTTCAACGGCGAAATAGCATCCCAGGCGTATCTCGGAGAGACGGAAGAGCGAGCACGAAGTATTCGCGCCCATGGCGCGGGTGTAAGCGGTCTTGCGATCGAAAAGTTCGACGGGCGCATTCTCGTATCCGGTGGCTCAGAAGGCTCCATCAAGATATGGGATCTTGACGAAGCACCGACTCCCAACCAACGACATGTCTTCCGTCCGGTGAGCACAATAGCTCGTTCTACTGGCGGCAACAAGTTGAACGGCCACAGTCACGGCATCACGCATCTGGCCTTCTACCCCTTCGACCCGGATGCTTTCCTGTCGAGCTCCTACGACAAGTCCCTCAAACTCTGGGCAACGCAACGCTCTGCTCTCACCGCAGACTTCGACCTCAATGCCACCATATATTCTCACGCCATGAGCCCCATAGCAGACCACCTCCTCGTGTCCTGCGCAACGCAACACTCCAACGTGCGTCTGGTCGACCTCAAATCCGGCTCCGCGGTCCAGGCGCTCGTTGCCCACGGCGGACCTGTCCTCTGCACATCATGGAGCCCGCGACACGAGCACATCCTCGCTAGTGGTCATGCCGACGGCAGAGTGCGCATCTGGGACATCCGACGTGCAGGCGGTGTCATTGCACAACTCGACCAGGAGGACTCATTGGGCGTTGTTCACCGGTTTCGGCACGCGGCAGCCTTGGGTCAGGACTGGAGCAGCATGCCGCACTTTCGGACATCTGCCCAGGCGCACGACGAGGCCGTAAATGGGTTACAATGGACTGACGATGCCAAGTACATTGTGTCTGCGGGGTTGGACCGTAAGATTCGAGTATGGGACGCGGGGACGGGAGCAAACACTCTTGCGAGCTTTGGGGCATTGATTCAGAATCAGCATGCCAAGACTGCTGCCATGGTTGTCACATCGCCGGGCCTATCAAATGACAAGGAGATTCTGATTTGGCCGAACGATCAGGAGATATTGCTGCTTGACCTGCATGATGGGAATGTAATGACAAGGTTGCGCAGCCCCGGTTCCATGAACCCTGTAGGTCCTCGGGGCGGAGAGGTGGGCAGGAACAGAACAACAACGATTGTATGGCGAGGAGCGGGGGGAGGTTCTGGGCAGATAGGAACCGTCATGGGGGGTGGCAACTCCGTAGGTGCGATTTACAGTGCTCACCTGGACGGCCAGATTCGTGCGTGGATGCCGCAGATTCCGGGACCGGACGACATGGATGAAACAGAAGACATGGACGAGGATGAAGAGACGAGAAGGAGGAAAAGAAAGGCCGTGGATAATGCATATAGGAGTTTGATGGGTAGACAGATAACATTTACTGGCACCAGCCGGTAGTGTATTTGATTACGGAGTAGACACATTATACCTACCCACATCTACAGATTTCTGCCTGTTTTTAAATAATGCGAGCGATATGAAACCTAAAAAAGGAAAAAAAAAGGTCCTCAAGGGAATACAACGCCTGCCTCCCGAATACCATTGCCACCTCGGTTTATATCTACATAGTCACCACCAAGCAAAGCCAACCATCAGGATACGCCGCCTCCCGCATGAGATCCGCCAACGGCGCATCAAAAGGCACACCGGCGCCATGCATAACCACCCCGGCCAACACGGGGTCCCGACTGCTCGGGAACAATTTCGGCATCATCTCCTTGAGCGCCTGGCCCAGCAACTTTGGCTTGCGGTCAGCACTTGTCGCCGGCACGAGGGACTGCATGATCCTGAAGGAGCCGGCGTCCCCAGACACAGCCGGGCCCTGGTGCTCCGGCGCAGAGGGGATGTATATCCGCATGGGGACATGCTTGAGGCTGGTAGGCGCATTCAACAGCCTCGTATTGACCTTGGCGAACGACCCGTGGTCATTGTCGATGACTGCGTTCCAGAGCTGGGTGGTGTGCTCCTTGGACATTTTCATGATTTGATTCGCGTTGCCGTTGCGAACAAAGTCTGCCTACATGTTTCAAACCATCAGCACTCCCCTCGTCCGCCTTCTCCGAAGCTGGGAAAACATGTGTGGGTGCGCATCGTCTACCTCCTTGACACAGTTCAGAAAAGTGTCTCCGATATCCCACCCTACTCCGTCACTGACCACCAGCCGAAACGGCAACGAGGGCTGGTACAAGTCCACCAGCAGGCCTACCGCCAGATTCCTCAGCTGGACGTCTTCAAAGTGAAAACTCGAGCATGCCGAGCCGAAGAAGGCCGAAAGTCGGGGGAGTAGGAGTGCGAGGTAGGAGAAGCGTGGGACGCTAGTGATGAACGGGGCGGCAGGCAATGAGGCGTGCGTGATGTGTAGCGGGATACGGGCGTCCCAGAGCGTCTGGGCAATTGAAGATGCCATTATGAGGGAGGCATGGTGAGGATGGGAGGGACGGATGCCTGACGATGAGTGACTGCTGGTTGGGTGACGCTGTAATATCACTCGATGAAGTGTCATAGGGTAAGTAGCCAAGTTTGAATGGGCGCAAGGGTCAATGCTGATGCGCAGAGACCCACTTCTAGTCATAGTCCGTTAACTTTTGGTAGCGTACCGAATCCGAATGTTCCAAAGACTGGTCCTAAATTATTCGCAACTAGCACTAAGTTGCAGCCATAGTCTCATGCCATGCCTTATTTCCGTTATAAGAAAGAGCTGTATTACTAGCCCAACAATAAATCTTCATCCCACAGACACGATGTCAAGTAAAAAGGGTCTTTTTCTATAATATGGACACAAGTCACAAGTTGTAAAGGAATGATAAAGCTAAATAGCTCGAGTGCATAATTTCATTCAATAATCATACTACTTGTACATTTCAACTCGTAAAATCATCATTGCCCAACCGTGAATGAACCATCCTTACAAACCACGGTGCTGTTCCTGGTGTGAAACACTGTGTCTCTTGGCACGATCATGCGAAGCATTCTCATGTTCAACAGTCGGGGCACCAATGTGCTTCTGCAATACTGAAGGGGGAACCTGCGCCGCATCTGTAGGATCCTTGTGGCCCATAGACTCGGTCCTGCAAAAGCTTGTTAGATGTTCTGCTTTGTGATAGAATTGAGCGAGTTCAATGAGATGAGCTAGAACCCACCCTTTAAGGCTGCGCGTACGTCTTGTTGCCGCCGAAGGTCTTGCTGCCGTCAAGATCGCTGTCGACACGAGGGTCAGCCTTGTTCAGCATGTCGGACTTGTGAGGACCGGCAGTGTTCGGGGCTGGTCCGGGGCCGGCGCCGGTGGTGCCAGCGTGAGTGCCGTGAGCACCGGTGTGGGTTCCGTGAGTACCGGTGTGAGTTCCGTGAGAACCAGTGACGCCGGTGGTGCCGGTAGTCGCAGTTCCGTGAGGATTGGCTCCCAGGTTGCGGCTATGGTCTCGGTCAGAGTCAACACGAGGGTCGGCCTTGTTCGCCAAGTTGGACTCGTGGGGACCATCGGTGCGAGTAGCTGGGCCGTCTGTGCCACGGTTAATGCCAGTAGCACCACTTGCGCCACTGGAGAAGAAAGCAGCGTTGTGGCCAGTGCCAGAAGTACCGGCGGTGCCGGTGTGAGTTCCGTGAGTACCCGCAAGGCCAGTGGTGCCAGTAGTGCCAGTAGTAGCAGTTCCATGAGGGTTGGCTCCGAGGTTACGGCTGTGGTCCCGGTCAGAGTCAACACGAGGGTCGACCTTGTTCGCCAAGTTGGACTCGTGAGGGCCATCAGTGCGGGTGGCAGGGCCATCGGAGCCACGGTTGGTGCCCGTGGTACCGATGGCGGCGCCAGTAGGACCTGCAGAGCCAAGACCACCAGTGGTGCCGGTAGTAGCTGTACCACGGGGGTTCATGCCCAAGTTGCGACTGTGGTCACGGTCAGAGTCGACACGGGGATCAGCCTTGTTCGCCAAGTTGGACTCATGAGGGCCAGCTGTGCGTGTAGCTGGGCCAGTAGTGCCAGCGACACCACTGTGATGCTGGGCGCCACCAATACCAGTTCCGGTAGTGGTACCGGTTGTAGCAGTGCCCTGCGGGTTCATGCCCAGGTTCTTGCTGTGGTCGCGGTCCGAGTCGACACGAGGGTCGGCCTTGTTCAGGAGATTGGAGTTGTGAGGACCGTCAGTCTTGGAGGCCGGGCCGGAGGCGCCGCGGTTGGCTCCGGCACCATGAGCATAGTTGTCTGAGCCGGCGAAGGCGGTGTTATGGGTTCCAGTAGTGCCCCCTACTGGGCCGGTGGTGGTGGTGTCATGGATGCGAGGCTCGGCGGCACTGGTGGTGTGAGTGCCAGTGGTGGGATGTGTTGAGGAGTGAGTTCCCTCATGGCGTGTGGTCTTGTCCTTGTCGGAATGGAGAACATCTTTGACTTTGTTGACGATGGAAGACATGATGGCTGATAAGTCTTTGAGATCTTTCGTGTTGTATGGGGGTATCTAAGTAAGTTTATGGGGTGCTTTTATGAGTATAAATGCTTTACGTGTGTAGGCGACTGTTTGTATGATTGAATGTCTCAGGAATAAAGCTGTGGAAAGTTCCGAACGCATGTTTATATAGATGGTGGAAACAAGGCACAAATGTGAGGCGTCACCCTTTTCGATTCTTGCACGATGAAATCATCAGCATCCATAGATGGCAATTTCCTTCCCAGATCACGACTTACCTGATCTTTGAGCCCTTTCGTCATAGGACCCTTGGGAAAGCAACACCAGAGACCTGCTTTGTCCCCAAACCACATGGCGGTTACGAAGCCTCGTTTGGGTGTAATCATCCTCAAACAACCATTGGCTTGTCGCCTTGCACAATATCCCATCAAACGCTGTCACCAAGCTCGTTAAAGTGGGGGACCATGGTACATGATAGATTGTAAGCGTCATAACGGCCCTCCTGTGACGTTGGAACTAGGCAGGTATAAACAAGCTCCTCAAGCCCGGACACTCGTCTCCGCTATGGAAAGCTTGGTGGTTGGTTGTGGTGCGGGGAGCTGACAATGATGCCCAAAGGACGTTAAGGGGTCAGATAGGTGGCATGTAGCTGGAATGACGCAACGAAGGGGTCGGGAATCTGACGACGACGAGATGATCAATGGGACGTGCAGACAGGGCTGTGGCGGTGTTGGCACAAGAACATCCCTTTGAATGTGCGGAGGCACGTATCGGACCCACTCTTCTGCGATACCTAACGGGTACCTTTTCAGCACCAGGGTCACCGGCTTAGAAGCGCTATAAAAAGCAGCACGACCTACGGCTGTGATAAGTGTGATGTAGCTCTTTGTGACAGGGGAAATAACTAGGACTTCTATTATCATACTATTTCTTAGTGGAGCGATGTACCATTTAATACTAGATTTTTGATTGGCCAGAACCTAAATTCGGTACCTCCAACGTGCCTTCGCACATTCAAAGGGATGGAACACCGAAGCCAACAGTGCTACGCAATGGCATCATAGATTCATTCAATGTGGCTGGTGAGTGGCTGTCCAGGACGAGACTCAGACCTACCAACTTGTGCACTGGCAGGTCGATTCGTCTAGAACGACTGGCGGTGCTAAATCCGACTGCAAGGTGACGGAATCTGCAAAACTCGCCTTGGAAAAGGCGCATCGTGCTCGTCTGGGTCCATGTTAGCGGTTGCAAGGTGACATGCCCTCCTTAGCCGCCGTTGCAGGAACTATTAGAATCCAGACCACCCTAGACCCTTTGTTGGCTGGTGGCCGAGAGTAGAGTAGTATCGTGATATATTATTGAAGCGTTAGCTATGCGCGAAACGCTCGGAAGCTTCAATTATTACTGGCCGCAATTTTCACCATGGGACAATGGGCATTCAGTTTAATAAAACAAAAGATTGACTCGTATTAGCTAACCCATGGTACAATGACAATGTCACTCGCTTCCAACCACTACTATTCGTCATCATCGACATCATTAAACCAGCAAACATCTGGGTATCGCAAAGCCAATTCAAACGTTTGGCCACATAATAGGATTCTTCCCCACAAAAAAACCATCGTCGCTTCGTAGACGTTCCTTGAAGACATTGCTTTACACTCGTCCAACTTATCCCTCCCAAATGAATTATTGCCGTAGCGCTGGCTGGTAGACCAAAAGGACTCTGGGCGCTAATCTCGCGCGTATCGAGCATCGGAGGACTTGGATCCTCTAGACGTAGCTGCGACGATACCAACGGCGTCGGTGAGGAGCAGCCTCGGCGCCCGCACGGCGTTCGTGCTTTCGCATCCAGAAGATGCCAATGAGAGCAGACGCGAGCCAGAGGACGGCAGAAAGGAACGAAAAGGCAAGGTCGGCTTTGAATTTGCCGCACTGGTCGCCACGGGGTGAGACGTTGTCCCAGTTAAACCAGGCACCGCAGGAAGATCCCAGTAGCTGCGCATGTTAGCCAACGACCCATGGAGCGGCGACAACAAGTATACTTACATTGGCAAGCAAGCCAAAGGCAACCCACCAAAGAATGCTGATGAAAATGTCCATCGGCCAGTGGGTGAAGGTGCTGGAGAATGGGAATAGCCATATCAATGCCAGGAATATAGATATGCCTGCGACGACCTCGGTGTAGATGAATCTTCCGAGGTGCCAAGCACTGGCGTTGGACTTGTGCAGGTAATCTCCAGTAACACCAGCAACGATGACGGCGAACACGAGTTCGGCCGATCTGAGAATGAGACTAACAAGGCGATCGAGAGCCATGGTGATTTAGAGTTGCTGGCAGGTAAAGATGTAAGAAAAGTAAATGGGATAAGGCAGCGCTTTTGGATACCTGTGATGCGTAAGAGTGGGCTGTGATTCAGTTTGCCTTCTGATACACATTGATGTTGGGAAACAACGGCAGGGGAAGCATGGCCTTTTATCTCCAAGACCAACTGGAAATGTGACGCGCATTACGCATCCTAACCCAGGGGTTATAAAATGCACTGGGGTTGCGTCCATGTCTGGGACACATGATGGGTTCCCCAGAGTCCCAGACACCGTGGATCATTCTCCCCAAGCCGGCTTTTGGCCCCCTGCTCGACAACGCACCGAAACTGATTAATTCAATGTGCAAGCATTCAGACCAGGCAAGTTGGGCACCCAGCCCACGAAACTTGGCACCGGTATTGGCAGGTCAAGGTACGCGTGCGCCGCAAGGGTCCTCCACCAATCACTCAAACACAAAACGCTGGCTTCGCCATGGAAGAATCCCGCAAAGGTGTCAATCGGTTGTAGAGTGCATCAGATGATGTCATTTCCAACAGAGTGGTGGTGTGACCTGTCTGGGTAGACCCGAAGCCAACAATCTGCGCGCAGCCACATCCGCCACTTTTGATGACGCGCAAAGATGCAAACGATCATGCTGGACCAGGGCCCTGGCTGGTACCGGGCATCGAAGCAGTCTTGACATCAAGTCTCCCTCCCGTGCCATCGCCTGGCACCAAAGATTCTGGGGAACTTCATCGGATTTCCATGAATCGTTGCATGTTTGCACGTCACTGGCATTGGCCACGGCGACTCTTGGCAGGCCAGAAATAGGTGTTGCGCCCACTGATCCATACACAGCCTGCTATGTTACGTGGCGTGCAGGTTGCTGCTGCCGCGTCTAAGCCGCCAGTTGTAGTCGAACATTCAAGGTGTATTTCTTTCTTTGTTTCTTCCTTGTAAAGAAAGGGGTTGGCGGAAAAGCCGAGCATCCCCGAGAAAGAGCCATGCAAATCGGGCGACAAGGATATGTGCCGATGACATCGTGTGCCTTGTCAAATGGCGACTGCGGGCTTGAAAGGTAGGTGGGTAAGGTTTTATGTGAGGCGTCTTGGTCTGGATGACATATTGAAGTTCACGCCATGCACCCATCTCTGAGCAATACATATGCCCATAGCCCATAGACCGCTCTGGTTACATACCTGCCGGCCTCCTACAAAAGGTCTGTGTCTGTTCTTGGAGTTGAATATTTTCGTCTTTTTCATTAAAGCTTTCTTCCAGTGTTTTCATTAGATTTATTCCCTCTTAAAGATGGGTCTAGGATGTAGGCGACGCCGATAGCCATATTCGTCATCATGCCTCACAACCCACGCCCATGTGGACATGGAGGCGGAGGCAAAGCCTTTGACGGGAATAGAAGCATAGTGGGAGCTTCTTTGCTCTCATAAAAGTCGCATTTGGCGGCCTCTTCTATTGAGAGTTAGTGTCATGGCTGCATGGTTGTCGACCTCTCTCACATATTACGTCGCCTTTCGGTGTAGATGAGGGAGTCAAGAACTATCGTTGATAGCCCAATTGTAGTGCGCCGATTGGTTTTAGCAAAGGCCAAAAAATACTAGGAAGTGATGTAGCCCATGCGTCATTTTGGGTCTCGATGTTGACTTGAAATGAACCCTCTAGTGAGCGTGCAAGTCGAGATGTACATACATCTTGGTAGGCACGTGCGTAGGTACGTGAGTCGTGTGTAGGTAGGTGCTGGTTAAAGTGGAAGGAGCATTCTACCAGACCTGAACTTGAAATATTTGACTCCGCATCTTGATACATGTCGCGTCCTGTGCGCCTGATTTGAGTCAAGTTCTGAGCTGGCTTGACCACAATGCTGGATAGCACTCGATACCATTCGACGTCGCCTATGCCTATGAACACGAGCTAGCAGATTTTCACGACTTAGCCATGGACTTCTTCATTGACCCATTTCATTGATTGGACTGGGTCGGCCGCCTTGCGCGCGCGAAGGACCAACCCCGCCATCCGCATTCCCCACCACCGACTCGAGCTGCTTTTACACCTCTGCGACTTGGTTGATTTATAAACTGTCGTGGCGCGAGAAGCTGATGATATTTTTCACTGTTAAATCCTTGCGCCAATACGCTTTCCTGTTTCTCCTCTCGACCTCCTCAGCAGCAGCCTAGGATTCTCCACCATAGGACAGGACGTCGCTCCCTCCTACATTTTTATCTGTTTGCATCTTCTCCACATCGTCATCCAGATACCCTCGTAGCCTCGGCTAACACATCCTCAAACCAGAACAATGACTGGCTCTACCAAGGAGCGCGGTGTGCGCATTGCCATTGACCGCGGAGGCACTTTTACGGACTGTGTTGGAGAACAGAACGGTGAGGAAATCATTATCAAACTTCTCTCTGAGGATCCAGCGAATTATAAAGATGCCCCGCTTGAAGGCATCCGGCGCCTCATGAGCCATTTTCTAAAGCGAGATATTCCTCGTGGTGAGCCTCTGGATACGTCAAAGATTGACTCCATCCGCATGGGGACAACTGTCGCTACAAATGCCTTGTTAGAACGAAAAGGAGAGAAAATTGCCATGGTAGTTACCAAGGGGTTCAGAGATTGCTTAGTCATTGGAAACCAGTCGCGGCCCAAGATCTTTGATTTGGCAATCAAAAAGCCTGATGTGCTGT